CGGCTCAAAGCACAATGAAATCGTAAGCTTCAGCGTCACAACAGAGTCAAACGTCACACATATAGCTCTTCTCCCTCCTTATAGCTCTGTGTACTCAAGGGAAATGATAGCCATTTTAAAGGCCATCCAAATAGCACAAGAGAGTATTGGAGAATTCGCAATATGCAGTGACTCACTTTCACTAATATTATATTGCGTCAAAGTCTCATTCGGAAACACCAGCAGCCGGATTCTAGCGCGCTTAACAACATGCAACGTTTACATTCCCCTCATGCTGCTTCATTTGCCTGATTACACATTCCTTCTGTTTTTTTTTCATATTGCGTACCTTAAGGCACCACGGCTGCTCATTTAGAGAGTTTTAGCGATGGAGATTTAGCGTAGCAATTGTCAGAATTCCACTGCAGGATTATGCTGCTGAGGTCAATACCTAAATACCTTTGTTGACTCATACTGAGTTTATACGCACGAATTATTTGCAAATAATAATTTTCAAAATGGTAAACTTTTCCGTATAAACGCTGAGTTAATTTTTTATTTGCAAATAAATAAATCACGCAGATAAGTATTGATTAGTGGTACTATTTGCAAATAAGCACAAGACTCCGCCATTCTTAGGTTTATTTTTTTCGATGGTTATCTTATTGCCTTTTTATAATCAAGACGTTGCCATTTTTTACTTTATTTTCGTTTTCGATGGTCATATTATTAATAATAATAATAAATAATAGATTGGCGCTTACAGATATGTTAGTGTTTGACCGAGCTTCTTCTCCGATTTGTGGCGTGCGCCTTGGTGTTGTCACACAAAGCGGAGGGACCTACAGTTTTACGTAGTGAATGTAGCCCTATGGACAGAAAACTTCTGAGATACTTCGCCGACCTAAACGGGGTTAGACGAGTAAACAGCGAAAAATAAAACAGGGGGTTCCTCAGGGTGGTGTCCTTTCCCCGCTACTGTTTAACTTTTACATTTCAAAGCTCCCTCAACCACCAGAGGGAGTCTCGATTGTCTCTTATGCCGACGATTGCTCGATCATGGCGACTGGGAATGGAATTGATGACCTGTGTTCGAAAGTAAACGGGTATCTCTCCGAACTTTCTCGCTTCTTCACTGCAAAGTGTCTAGCCCTCTCCCCTACGAAATCCTCCGCGACCCTGTTCACAACCTGGACGAAGGAGGTCAGGCTACCGCTGGGGATTCACGTCGATGACACACCAATTCCGACGGTGAATAACCCCAAAATACTCGGAGTAACATTCGACAGCCTGCTCTCCTTCTCTGCGCACTCAACCGCTATTGTCAATAAAGTACAGAGCCGCAACAAGGTCCTCAAGTCGCTAGCCGGCAGTACTTGGGGCAAAGACAAAGAAACGTTGCTGGCAACATACAAGGCAATAGGCCGGCCGGTTTTGAACTACGCAGCGCCAGTGTGGTCGCCAGGGACTAGTAGGACGCGGTGGACGAAGCTACAGACTGTACAGAACACCGCACTAAGGACAGCGACAGGATGCCTCCTGATGTCGCCGGAACACCATCAACACGGCGAGGCGCAAATGCTCCCCGTAAAGGAGCACAATATAATGCTCTGCAAGCAGTTCCTGATCGGGAGCCACAGAAGTGGCCACCCAAGCAGACAGCTGCTTGCAGAGGAGCCCTCGCCTAGGCACGTCAGGAGGCATCTATATGAACTGACAGACGAAGTCCAGAGGTTCATCAAGCAACCTCTGGACCCGACAGCTTACCGACAGGCCCTGAACGGCATTCACAGGGACTCAGTCTCGAGTTATGTAGACTCTAGACCTGTGAATGCCGTTCTAGGCATACCACCCCCAGACATAGACGAGACGGAGCTTCATCTGCCTCGGGAGACTCGCACAACACTTGCACAACTTCGCCCCGGCTACTGCAGCAGGTTGAACTCCTACCTGAGTAGGTTGAATGAGGATGTGCCGAATGAGTGTCCGGCATGCGGAGAGACCCCACATGACTCGAAACATCTCTTCGCATGCCCGGAAAACCCGACAACCCTAACGGCCTTGTCCCTGTGGACAAACCCCACAGAAGCTGCACGCTTCCTAGGGTTGCCGTTAGTGGAACTTGACGACAACGACTGAGATACCAACCGTCCTGGGCGGGGTTGTTGTAGCCGCTACAACAACAACAACAACAACAACAACAACCTACAGTTTTACGGCGACTCCGAACGGCGATTGTATTTTTATGAGAAGCTGTTTTTCATGGCAGAAATACACTCGGAGGGATGCCATTGCCTGCCGAGGGACGACCGCTGTTAAGAAAAAAACCTTTTTTTTTATATTTTTGCGATGTTGCTTTGACCAGGGTTTGAACCCAGGCATTGTGGAGTGGAAGCGCGCACTGCTTACCACTACACCACAGCGGCCGACATCGGCGGCGGTCATATTATTGCCTTTTTGTAATCAGGCAATATTAAAAAAGAATTTTTCACCATCGAATAAACAGTGATTTAGGTAATTGCAAATTATTTTTATTTGCAAATAGCTTACGAATAAACGTAGTATCATTTACCACAACCATTGCGCGCTTTACTTTACAGCGCCTTGACAGAATCAATAGGTCTACACGAATATCGACAAATACATTTCGGCATTTAAGGAAACTTCATCTCTTTAGCCTACATTAAATTTCTGTAGTCCACCCATTTTGTCTTTTTGTCGCCAGCGAATGAAGAACAAACATTTCTTCAAATTTAAAAAGTAAAAATTTCACTACTAAAATTTAAGTGTTCTTAAAACCTGCAAAAAAATTTGGGAAAAAAATATTACTGTTTTTGGGAGTAGGGTGGGAGTGGCATTGATAAAATTAGAGCGAGAGAAAGTTCTTCTTACAAAACATTTCAAAAAAAGAACGTAGTTTCCCTTTGAAATTTTTTGACATAAACTGTGCTTATGACGTTTGTACTTTTCGTAAATTGCTCAAGTAGCACTGCCACCTCAACAAATTATTGTTTTTGAAATTTTAATATTTTTTAAGGAATTTTTTATGCATTAAAAAATAATAACTCGCAAGGTAAATTTACTTATTTCATCGTAATAGCAGAGCTGTTAAAAAGTGTGTATTGATTTAAAACACCTTAAATTACCTTACGGCAAAAATATTTGGTATCTGCAGTGTTACACTGCAATATAGTCTGGCTCTTTAAGAAATTTAGATATTAGAATGCTGCTTTAATTTGGATCTTTTTTAGTGGAAATATGAACAATGGAATGGAATTAAAAAGTAGCTTACCGTCAATGAAAGCACAATGGAAGCATAAACTTATTTGTGATAACGCATGATGTAGTCGGAGGTAATAATAATAATAATAATAATAGATTGGCGCTTACACATATGTTAGTGTTTGGCCGAGCTTCTCCTCCGATTTGTGGCGTGCGCCTTGATGTTGTCACACAAAGCGGAGGGACCTACCGTTTTACGCCGACTCCGAACGGCGATTGTATTTTTATGAGAAGCTGTTTTCATGACACAAATACACTCGGAGGTTTGCCATTGCCTGCCGAGGGCCGACCGCTGTTAAGAAAAAACCTTTTTCTATATTTTTTGCGATGTTGCTTTGACCAGGGTTTGAACCCAGGCGTTGCGGAGTGGAAGCGCGCACTGCTTACCACTACACCACAGCGGCCGGCAAGAGGGAGGTAATACAACTTCCTAATTCTTAGAGCTCCTTGTTATAGTTTATAGACAGACAAACTACTCGCTCTACTGCTGCTGGTGCCGCGTGTCGCTTCAATTGGGCACATCCGTCCCGAGGCTGAAAATGTTCTGCCGAAAACTGGTTGGAACAAACAAACAACACCTTTGTGAAGTTACCATGCACGTGGCCATCCCGAAATATGAAGCTAATCGTACTAAATAATGATGAAAATAATTGCAAAAACAAACAGATTCTCTATTTGCACAATGTAATACAAGTATTTTACTTGTATTCCGTTTTATATTTAATTTAAGAAATAAATCACTAAAAGTTCGCTATAAAATGATGCTCAAAATATATTTTCTAACAATTTTTAAAATAATTTTTTTGAAATATTTTTTAAGTAAAAAAACTCCTTTTTAATTTCTTCAAAGAATATGGTAGCTTCAATTTAAAAGAAAATGTCACAGTTTACGTCAAATGGGAGCAATGCCGAATAACAAGTGAAACTACCTCTAAATAATTGTATCATGATTCAAATGTAATTTTTTATTTTTCACTCCATATGCTCATCACGTTTTTTACACTCCCGAAAACTTTCAATTTTGAATGTTTGAAGTCAAATTGGTTTCTACCTGTTTTTAATGTACCTTGAGTTCACTGTATGTTTTTATAAATCAGTAGCTCGTTTCTGTAACAATTATCTAATGATCAATAGAGAATGACGTATATTCTCTACCAGTAGAGAAATAATCGGTAGAGAAGAGTTACAGAAACGAGCTACAGGACTGCGGCAATTGTGCGACTTTTTAATTTTAATTATTAAAATTATTAAGTTTTAAAACAAGGGGTTTTAAGGTATTGCTAAATTCATACCTTTCTCAGAAAAAATTAAAGATAAATGCCATAAGGTTTGCTCGAATACATATATATTTTTTCATTAGAATTGAGATAATTTCACATTGTCCCTTGTTTATAGCCTTTGGAAAATACACCGTAGTATTTGGAAATTTTCAAAATTAAAATTTCTCGGCTAAAAAAAATATTCGAGCAGGCACAACAGCATATGATATTCTTAAAAATGCTTTAAATAGCTTTTAGAGAAACAAAACCGTCGGAATGCTAAGTTACCTCTAAAATAGGCCAAAATCAAATTTTTCGCTTTTATAGGTTAGGATGTTTAAAAAAAATTATGTAATAGCGCAATTATGAATTCAAATTAGAATTCGGCACCTCAAAATCTATTAGAAATGGGTAGCCTTATCTAATGTGCAATTTTCATGTCGAACTGTGAAATATGTAAACAATATTTAAGTATTATACCTCTTTGTCGGCAGCTGATAACTTTTTGAACATGTTGGCATAAATCTTTCTCTCTTTGTCGTTGGCTTCTCTAATTTTTTGTTTGCAAATTTGTATTTGGTTTATAGCAGCTTTGTTGGTAGGTTCCAATTCTATTACCTTCAAATAATGCAAAGTTTTTTAGAAAATTTAAGTGCACAATTAAGATAAGCCAACAAATACTTTTTGAAAATCATCTAAGGCTTCTTTAAAATCGTTTATAGCAACATTACATTGCCCACGACGGTAAAGTGCTTTGATGTTAATGGGATCCAATTTGAGAGCTTCATTGCACTATAAACAAATTTTTTTTTATTAAATAGGTTAAACCTACATATGTACGCATGGTATACATAGGAAATTAACAATACTTACTGCTTGCTTGCCTTCAAAGTAATCATTCGTTTTCTGGTAACATAAAGCTATATTGCTGTTCAAAGCTATCTTCAGTTTTTTTGAGTTCCCATTATCTGTAAATATGTTAAGTAAAAGTTTTTCTTAATGAAGTTGATTCCACATTTAACTTGGAACACATGTTTGCTTACCAATTTCTGAAATAATATCTGTAGCCTTTTTGTACATTTTAGTCGCTAAAGAAAAATTTTGTTTTGAGAAGTATTTTGTTCCCTTAGCTTTATACAATTCAGCATGATGCACTCTTTCCTCATCAGATAATTTCCATTCTTCCATGCCCTGAAAAAATCAAATATGTGTTAAAGTAAAAAGTAGACTCACGAAGATCATACAGTCAATCAATAAAGTTTAGGTACAGCGATTGCAAAACGGGCAACTGTTTTTGAATTATTTTATTTTTCGAATTTTTTTTATAAAAGTATGGTTAATTCTACGACCAGGACCCCAAAAATGTGAGCTCCAAACTTTGTGCAAAATTAATAAAAATTCTGCAAAATTTCATCAAAATATTACACTTTTTAATTACACTCTTTAGAAATAAACTGAATATGCAGTTTTTTAGCCCATTCAATTTTGGTAACATAATGTACAAGTCTGAGGTAGCTAGGACTTACCAATAATTTTTGGATTTTTTTTTTTTGTTCAAGGGTGTCGTTAATTTTCTCCACATAAAAAAAAAATAATCGAAATTTTTTTTATATGGAGAAAGTTCAACAAAAAAAATTTTCTAAAATCATTGGTAAGTCCTAGCTACCTGAAACTTGGCACTTTATTATACTAGAACTGCATACTCAACTTTTAACAGTGCAATTCAAAAGCTCAATATTTTACTAAAAAATTGCAGAATTTTCTTTAATTTTGCACAAGGTTTCTGGCGCTCTGATTTTTGGGGTTTATATTTTCATTTAATTTCATTTATTAAACAAATTCATTAGTACAATAAGATCTTAAAGCTCTTTTATAGTACAACAGTAATTATAAAGCACAAACATAAAGCAACGAAAGAAACACAATAAGTAAAAAATAAATAAATAAAATAAGAGATTCAAAATAAAAGAACAAAAAAATATAACTAATCCAAAGATTAAAAACTAACATTTTTACCTAAATAAAAGCACAAGACCAATGTAAACATGTGTAGATACATACATACCACAGTTGTGAAAAATGCATTGATTTTGTAATGCATTAATGGCATTTAAAGCAACAACGTAAATGTAAAAGATTAATGCATTAATTTATGAAATTTAATGCAAATGAATATTTCAATGCATTAATTCTGAAAAATGTAATGCTAAAGAATTTTTTTTTTTCATTAAATTATCCAAACTAATGTTAATGAAAAAATTTTAATGCACTAAAATGTTTAATACCTTTGCTCGTTTGCATTATTAAAAACCATTAAATTTTTTTCTAGTAAAAATAAATAATCTCTTTTGGAAGGACTTAGAATAATTACTAATAGTTTTTTCAGGTTCATTATATTATGTGTATTTGTAGAACAGTTCTTCTAAACATTGTAAGATGTTTTATGAAAATGAAAGCCAATGTGCATGCCAGAGTGCTTTTGTAGATTTTTATGTTGATTGTTGATGCATACCGATTACATATATTAAGTATGAGCCAAAAACGGACAGATAGCCAGTTTAGCAGCGCATGTACACGACTGAGCACCTACTTTGATCTAAATCAATCAATAAACCGTTTTTTAGCTACATTTGACAATGTGATTTGACATAGTGAAAACCAGCCTTAACGTCCGTCACTATCTTTTTTGACCTTAAAATTCTACCCTCAACGTTAGCAAAGAATTTTTACTTCAAAATAAAATTAGTTATTGGGTTTTTAATGCTTGTTATAATTTTAATGCAATAAATTATTGCAATAGCATTCATTTAAACATTTTAATGTTAATACAACAAAAAAAATCATTAGCATTAATGCATTGAAATTTTCATTTACATTAAATATCAAAAATTAATGCATTAATCTTTTTCATTTACATTAAAATGCTATGCATTAAAAAATTTAATGCATTTTTCACAACTCTGATACATACACATCAGAGATTGGCAAAGGGTGCTGTTTTTGTGACTTTAAGCCTACTCACGTTAAAAACGGGGGATGAACGAACACCAGCGCAAAGCGTGCTGTCTTGCAAATACAGCCACCACAAGTGAACGATACTTATAACAGCTCATACTGATATTGACTTCGGCAAACCTGTACTCCGAATGATCGTGCACGAAACCAGCAACCGCCATATTTGATCGACTGCCGAAAGCACGGTACTGCATTTGGACGGTTGCCGAAAGCATGAGAGCTCATTGGGACGGTTGGCGAAGGCAAGACGCCGCAGTTCGTTTGTTGCAGAAGTCATTTGACTTGTTGCTGAAAGTCATTTCATTTGTTGCTGAAGGCATGTTTAATGGTTTGCCGAAGTCATGATACTGTATTTCAAAAACAATTCAACGACATGTGCTTGTTTGAAATGAAGCCTTGATATGTACATACATACATACATACGTACGTATGCACATACCTCACAACTAGCCTGCCAACATGTTCTTGGCGCCAGCAGCGTGTAAAGCAATTGAATGGTAGACGCGCTATAAATACATAAGTTGTGTTTTCGTATTCTCCAGCAAAAAATATCCAGTAACTTGCCAGTAACCAAATTTCGGAGACTAAGCCAATATATACTCCCAATGAGTGAAATATGAAAGAAAGTACGAAAACGTAAAACCAGCAAGAAGTTGCTAGTTTTATGAACAGCTGATTAATTTGATATTTTCCGATGCAATTTTCATAGAAAACTAGTATTTTCCATATTATTATATATTTAAATGGGTTTATTTTGTCAATTGCAACTCTAAAAGCACCACAAACAATTATTTTCTTAATGTGATTTACAAAAAAGCATCATGCCATCAACTGTTTTTCTTACTAGCAAATAGTTGCTAGTAAAAATTTATCTAGTAAAAATCCAGTAAAACTTGCAAGTTCAGCTGTCATTCTTGCTCTCTCAATTTCCCCTCTTTTGCTAGTTTCTTGCAAGTTTTTGCAGCAGTATTGATTTAGTATGCAACAGTTGACGTTCAACCAATGCCAATCACTGATACACATATGATAATCCTAGAAGATAGCGANCACATCAGAGATTGGCAAAGGGTGCTGTTTTTGTGACTTTAAGCCTACTCACGTTAAAAACGGGGGATGAACGAACACCAGCGCAAAGCGTGCTGTCTTGCAAATACAGCCACCACAAGTGAACGATACTTATAACAGCTCATACTGATATTGACTTCGGCAAACCTGTACTCCGAATGATCGTGCACGAAACCAGCAACCGCCATATTTGATCGACTGCCGAAAGCACGGTACTGCATTTGGACGGTTGCCGAAAGCATGAGAGCTCATTGGGACGGTTGGCGAAGGCAAGACGCCGCAGTTCGTTTGTTGCAGAAGTCATTTGACTTGTTGCTGAAAGTCATTTCATTTGTTGCTGAAGGCATGTTTAATGGTTTGCCGAAGTCATGATACTGTATTTCAAAAACAATTCAACGACATGTGCTTGTTTGAAATGAAGCCTTGATATGTACATACATACATACATACGTACGTATGCACATACCTCACAACTAGCCTGCCAACATGTTCTTGGCGCCAGCAGCGTGTAAAGCAATTGAATGGTAGACGCGCTATAAATACATAAGTTGTGTTTTCGTATTCTCCAGCAAAAAATATCCAGTAACTTGCCAGTAACCAAATTTCGGAGACTAAGCCAATATATACTCCCAATGAGTGAAATATGAAAGAAAGTACGAAAACGTAAAACCAGCAAGAAGTTGCTAGTTTTATGAACAGCTGATTAATTTGATATTTTCCGATGCAATTTTCATAGAAAACTAGTATTTTCCATATTATTATATATTTAAATGGGTTTATTTTGTCAATTGCAACTCTAAAAGCACCACAAACAATTATTTTCTTAATGTGATTTACAAAAAAGCATCATGCCATCAACTGTTTTTCTTACTAGCAAATAGTTGCTAGTAAAAATTTATCTAGTAAAAATCCAGTAAAACTTGCAAGTTCAGCTGTCATTCTTGCTCTCTCAATTTCCCCTCTTTTGCTAGTTTCTTGCAAGTTTTTGCAGCAGTATTGATTTAGTATGCAACAGTTGACGTTCAACCAATGCCAATCACTGATACACATATGATAATCCTAGAAGATAGCGAAACTCAGGGCACAAAAATTTATTGACGAAGCTTATTGCACCTGGAATATAATTCCATAAACGGTTGACAAAAAATAGTCTAGCAGAGTTAAGATTAATTAAGTCGCTTATACGGACAGATTTTGGAAAAGTTAGATTATTATACAGATAACTAACTAGGGAGCTTATCCAACATTAAACGGAATAGAAAAATACAATTCCTTGCCTTCAAATACTCAGATATCTCACAGCCTAATAGGCGAGATCTTCAACTAGAAATGTGATCAAATTTAGCCAAACCAAACACATATCGTGTTACGAGATTGAAAACTACTTCAATTTTATGGGCAGATTGAGAACTAAGCTTGCTGTAAATACATTGAGGATAACAGATTATTGGCAAAATCAGTTGTATTCCAAGTTTTTTCCTGATGTCGAGCGGCGTAAACGATGCAGACATTCTTAAATTACGTAGAGTGATGAGTACTTTGCTTATTATGAAGTTCACGTGATCATCACAAGAAAGACTAGAGTTGATTTCAAAACCAAGGTTCGTCACTTTAGACATAAATTTAAGACACTTATTATTAATATATAGATAAGGTGTGACAGAAAAGGCAATGCGACATTTAGAAATGGGTAACACATAGGATTTATCACTGTTAAGACAAAGCTCATTTCTTAACGCCCAAGATGATATAGAGGACTGAGCACAGTTAAACCTAGAGCACAAGGAGACTGATTGGTCATGGGGTCCTGTATTGAGCCTTGGGGCACAACAGTACACAGAGGTTTAAGACTAGAATATTCGGCAGCGACCCTTACACGCTGAGTCCTACCTTCTAGATAGCTCATCAGTCGTACAGCAGACTCCCCGAAGCCAAATTTATTACTTAATTTGATGCAAAGTAGTCTATGGTTCATCGAGTCGAAGACTTTAGAGAAGTCTAGCAAGCATAACAAAGTTAATTGGTTATTGTCATAAGGAATTCGTATATCGTCCAGAATTTTAATAACTGCAGTGGAACAGCTATGCTTTGCCCTAAACCCATACTGGAAC